ACAGACTTTTGCAATGAAAGACTGTTTATAAGTAATTCGGTCCAGTTTTCTTTTATTTAATCACATCTCAAAAAGCCGAATGCACAACATGTTCCTATCTTCACTGACAGCACATAGCTTTAAAATAGGAGGCCAACCCTATCAGTTTCATGTGGTTATTGAGTCATACAGCAGTGTGAAATTAGAGCCCGGTCCACCCATTTCGAAAGCAGACAAGAGCACATATGAACTTACTCCCTTTTTGATTATATTAAAATATCCTAATGACTGTCTTATCTCTCTCTATACAGCAACCTAATAAAACCTTATCTCAAAAGAACAAATCCGTCTTGGGTGACAATAGCCGTATTGTTTCATTGTTGTACTATTATTACATACTCTGACAACTTTTTAAATTCTATATCTAGTATATGACAGGATGTCTAAGATTCTCAGTGTGTATGATTAGCGATATCTTTATTTTTCTTCTAGCTAGAGGAGAAAAAAGTGTTTGATGTGACAGCCAGTCAATAAAAAAAACAACAATGATTAATATACAGAACACTCAAAGATATGAACGCTCAGAACAAAAGCAGCTATGGGTGTTCACCGTTAACTGAAACATCCAACTTAGCAGAGATGTAAACTCACCTTTCCAAATGTATTAATCCAAGTTTCACCAGTTAGTTTCAAGATAACAGCTTCATGGGCGTCAGTTCCACCTCAAATTACTACTCTCTAATAAAGCTGAACACCAACAAAACAGTCATATACAGGCGCCGTTGGGTGTGTTGATGTGGATTGCATCTGGGTCTTGACTCTTGACTTCTTCCTGCTTAATGCGGAAGTTCAGGTCTAGACCTGTCACTACATTCCTTCTGAAAGCTCAACACTTTCACAAGTCTTGTCTTGGCAGCGCTGAGCCGTCCCTCTCCACAGTCTCCTTATCTGCATTGTATTGCAAATGTTTCAAACGCGTACAGATCAGAGGAAATCTGGAGAGGAGTTTGATGATGAAGTATCTGGAGGTTAAAAAGGAAAGAGAGGTCTTGTGGGAGTGAGAGAACGGCTGATTCAGCATGGGGAATTTGACGGTCTTGGTTAATAATTCACCTCACTGAAACTGATATACTGCCGGTCTTTAGACAGGAGTGGTAGTGTGGCACGTCACACAGCAAACACCAGATCAAACTGAGCTCCAGTGATCAGAAAAACACAATGTTGCTTCAAGATTGATCCTACATATATAATGATTTGCTGTACACGTTTTAAATACAATCAGGCATACAGAAGTTGCTTTAACTTACACTCAAGAGGTTATTTCTTCTTAAAATCAGGAAGGAATATCCTAAGACACTGTTGTGGTGCAACAAGGTCAGTTATCTTCAGGGGGAACCAAGAGAGACTTAACAGGGCTAAAAATGGAAAACCAAAATAAAAGTGTTAATCGGTTGTCTTCGCAATCATTTTAGAATATCAATATAACCTATTAATTAAACTTAGAAACAGGACAGGAATAGGATATACAAAAAAAACTATGAATTTGAGACTGGCTCAGAGATGACTCAGGCAAACTATTACTGATGCATAGGGATATCATGCAAACCATGGTTATCAGCAATATTGGAGAAATTCATAGTTCGATGGAAAAGCCTGGCATGACTAAAGGTATTTCAAAAAAACTATTACTGATGCATAGATCCTACATATAGAATTAGTCGCTGAACACGTTTTGAACACTCAGGCATACACAAGTTGCTCAAGAGGTTATTTCTTCTTAAAATCAGGAAGAAATATCCTAAGACACTGGTGTGGTGCAACAAGGTCAGTTATCTTCAGGGGGGAACCAAGGAGAGAGAAGCTGTCAGGCTATGAATAGCCTCTGGATCTTATCTGACCTGGCAGACACAGATATCTCTATTTATTTGCATTTCTCCTTGAGTCAACCTGTGAGGCCAAGATTTCACTTCTTGTTTATTTAAATTCCTTGTCAGCTTACAAGGGGGGCCAAAAAATGTAAAAGGTTAAACGTAAGGAAAAATTAAGAACATAAAGCATACTTATTTTTAAAAGAACAACTTTGCCCCATTGCTAACCTTATTTTAAACTTGAGTCATTAAGTGAAGCTGCGCACAACAGGGGGAAAACCAAATAACCTTCAGCTTTTGCAAAAAGGCTTTTATGGTTCATGACGTATTAAACAAACACTTGGGGTACAGTCATGAGTCAAAACCACCCTCATTTCCTCTCTTCTCTCTCAGGGGTTGACAAACAGATGGACATATGCACCCTTCCATTAGCTCCAAGCATGTCCCAAACACAAGCATGGCGTGCCTCAGAGAACATTTTCATAGGCTGATTACTGGTTGGAGAGCTCTGCAGCAAAGAGAATTATTTATATACTTTGCAGTTACATTTCAGTGACTGATTGTGGTCCAACATAGTGGATACGGATACTGTTTTTGTCCAGCATGGGGAATTAGATGGTCTTGATAAATAAGACAGCTTCAAGACATAGATTTTTGTAGATGTTAGGACAAATTAAGTTAATTTCAAATAAACTAGGGGCAAATATTTGAAGGCTGCAAAACAAAGAGTTGAAAAAGAGCAGTATTTGTGTTTTAGTGTACAGAACCCCAGATGGAAAGGTGTGAGGTGTAGGAAGGACATTGTTTTAAGATATTAGTCTCCATCATATTACATCAGAGTGCTATGACACCCTCTAAAAACCTTTCTTGGTCTTTTCTGCACTAAAAGAAAAAGGGGTGCTAATGACAAAACCAGTGGGCACCTTTCAAAACGATAAAACATTTGTCAAATATAGCACTGCAGAGGACAAACTGTCACAATGATGATGGGAAAAGTGATGCATTAGGAGTGTTGTAGTGCCCTCTGTGTGTACTCTGCTGTACTCTACATTTGGTGGGTGGTGTAGATCATGTTCGTGATACCAAGCTGCACCACTTATTTTCTTTGTGGAGTGCTGATCCACTCATTACATTACATTACATTACATTGCATTTAGCTGACGCTTTTATCCAAAGCGACTTACAATAAGTACATTCGACCAGGAAGACACAACCTTGAAGAAAACAGAATCATATAAGTACATCAGGTTTCATAGAGCCAAACATTTCAAGTGCTACTCAACTGGCTTTAGGTAAGCCAGTCCTTTATTAGTATAAAAGTGCTTCGTTAATAGTTCTAACGCTCGAAGTGGAGTCGAAAGAGATGAGTTTTCAGTTTGCGCCGGAAGATGTGCAAGCTATCTGCCGTCCTGATGTCAATGGGGAGCTCATTCCACCATCTTGGAGCCAGGACAGCAAACCCACGTGTTTTCGCCGATGGGAACTTGGGTCCCCCTCGCAGCGAGGGCGCAACGAGTCGTTTGGCTGATGCAGAGCGTAGTGCACGCGCTGGGGTGTACGGTTTAACCATGTCCTGGATGTAGGAAGGGCCAGATCCATTCGCAGCATGGTACGCAAGTACCAGTGTCTTGGAGTGGATTCTAGCAGTTACCGGAAGCCAGTGAAGGGAGCGGAGGAGCGGAGTGGTGTGGGAGAATTTAGGAAGGTTGAAGACCAGACGAGCCGTTGCATTCTGGATGAGCTGCAGAGGTCGGATGGCACATGCAGGTAGACCAGCCAGGAGGGAGTTGCAGTAGTCTAGGCGTGAGATGACGAGAGCCTGGACCAGAACCTGAGTCGCTTTCTGAGTCAGCTGGGGACGTATCTTCCTGATGTTGTAAAGCGTGTATCTGCAGCAACGGGTTGTAGCAGCGATGTTTGCAGTGAAGGACAGGTTGTTATCTAGGGTCACACCCAGATTCCTTGCAGTCTGAGTCGGGGAAACAACTGAGGTGCCGATGTTGATTGTTAGGTCAAGAGTGGGACAATCTTTTCCCGGGAGGAAGAGCAGCTCAGTCTTGTCAAGGTTGAGCTTGAGGTGGTGAGCAGACATCCACTGAGAGATGTCAGCTAGACAAGCAGAGATGCGTGCAACAACCTGGGTCTCTGAGCGGGGGAAGGAAATAATTAATTGGGTGTCATCAGCGTAGCAGTGGTAAGAAAAACCATGCGGGCTAATGACTGATCCGAGCGAGTTTGTGTACAGGGAGAAGAGGAGGGGACCAAGAACAGAGCCCTGAGGGACCCCCGTAGTTAATTGACAAGGGTCGGACTCAGACCCTCTCCAAGTCACCCTGTAGGTACGGTCTTTCAGGTATGAGGTGAGGAGGGAAAGTGCAGAGCCTGAAACTCCAACTTTTTGGAGAGTGCGAAGGAGGATCTGCATGTTAATGCAGGAAACAACCACATTTTTTCATTCTAATTTAGTTTTCCGCTCAGCCCTTAAAGTGCTGCTTGGCTGGATTTACGCCAACAGAATCCAACAAACAAGGATACTGAGGTGTGTACATAATGGTATACTACGTCAAAATTGTATGATGTTAACTAATTATGAGAGAATCAAACACGTACAGTTTCCAGAAGTAAGAATGGTTTGAGAATAAGTCAACTTGTTTAGGTAAACATTTTCAGAATATGGCAATAGTATAATAGAATGAGTGGGAAAATAGATGAACAATTTGATTGATTTAAAAAAAAAAAATCTAAGGCAAGTTATAATATGAACATTATAAGTCAACACTTTGAATTATTGTATCTGAATGATGAGATACTTAACAATGTGATAATCAATGGTCAAAGTTGTTTTTTTGTCATAATGCCTTTTTTCCCCTTTGCAGAAATGGGCTTCCATAGGTGTCTGACCTTTAACTAATGAAAGAGAAAGTGACAACAGAACCTGACGAACTCCAAACATCCCACCACACATCATCCTCAGATAACCTCCCATGTGGTTGTGCTGATGGACTAAAATGAGAGGGTCCAAAAAGCAGCTGTGGGTTTCACATTCCTGACTTCAGCCATAGGTCACCTCAACAAAGGTTTGACCTCTGTTGGCTCCGTCTATAAAGTGGGGCACTCAGTGTTGACAAGCCCAGTATAACTTGAAGGCACTGGGTGGAGGACCAGCAGCTGTCTCAACATTCAGAAAGTGCTAAAAAGAAAATAACACTGCCACTTTCTGCAACTTGGATGGTCGTGAGGTCACAGGGAAGTCAGCAGCGAGCAAAATGAAAAGTGACAGTTTGCAGGAGAAGATGACAGGACAGGAAAACATTTAGCTATGGACATCATCTCATGATCGTGGGAGTCAATATTTCTTTTTAGGAAATGTCTCACTTTTCCTCCACATCACTGAGGGACTCCTGCATGGAAAGCAGGGAAGGTGAAGGGTTAAATTGTGGCCGGGGGAAACCTGATGCTAATTAAGTCTTAGGAATGCCACATACTGACATTGTAGTGCAGAATCTCTCACAGTGGGTCAGACATGGAGAGAGCAGGCGGTAGGGCTGCGTGTGTCTAATGTTTTATTTTTTACTGAGACGTTCAAGCCAGTCTCACCGAACTCTGGATCTGAAGGTAATGATTGGTCAATGATACGTATACTTTGTTTCTATAGTGAGAGGGGTTTAATCAGAAAGAAGCTCAGAGATGGACCATTTTTGAGATTTCTCCACCACCCGGGAATCAAAAGTTTAATGCGCATATTTCTTCTTTTGCAGAGAGACAACTAACGCAGAAGCAACAATGGTTTTAGTAACACCTGTGTTGTTGTTGCTGCTGCTCTCTTGGATATCGACGCAAACTGTCGCAGAGGTCTGCCGGGGGACGCACTGCTACGGCGCGGAAACCAGCGATCCAATACCGTGCGTCGGAGCGCACTGTCCGGGGGGCAGAACCTCCAGACCGCCGCGGCACCATCACCCGAGAGTGGCGCATATAGTGGCTGGCCAACACCATGCGTACCCGGGCTCTCCAAGAGCAGTCTCAGAGGGGTATCCGCCTGTGCAGCCACTTCGCGTGCGGCACACTGACAGCAGCAGTGGCACGCGGATAAGAGCGCCTGAAGTTTTACCTGCAGGATGCACGGATGCGGACTGCGCCGCTCTTGTGAAACAATTTCAGCCCACCACCAATGACACCCGAGAATGTAAAGGGATCGAGTGCAGACTGCCGCTGAGGATACGGCCAAAAGCCCGAGCGAAGTCATGTGTGGGAGAGGGCTGTAGTTCAGAGGAGAGCCAGCTCCCTCCTGTCCATCTGTCCGACAGAGCCGCACAGTTTATGGGGGATTTTCCGGAGCTTGGATATCCATCTCCGGAACTTGGCGGAGCCCCTTTGGGTGTCCAGCTCACATGTGACATCAAGCCAGGTCTGCTTTCATCATCTTCTTTGTCAACTAAAAATGTTAACTGTTGCGATGATGATTTCATTTCTTTAAAATGTCCTTCATCAGTCCACCTGGTATTTTCTTGCAGTGAAAGCAAGAACATAATAATGACCAAATGCTTATTATATTTGATTGACTTTAACCACCCTGTTTCTCCAGTGATCTGTACAAGGGCATCATGGTCCATAAGAAAAAGGGTACTTGTGGGTTATCTTTAGCCACTTTTTAAGTTAACCCTAACCCATACCCTAACCCCTAACCCTCCTAAAAAAAACAAAAAAAATGCGTAGAGAGTCTGAAAAAAACCAGACAGATAACCCACAAGTACCAGCAAAAGAAAGAGCTGAGCAGGACTGGAAATGTCTCTGAGTCAGTTGTCCAGAAAATATGGAGCTTTGATGTTGGTCCATAAAGGAAACTTTCATTGCACTTGCCAGCTACCCAATACAATGGGGTTCACTGAGTGTTCACACTTTGTTCCAGCGTCAAATCAGAATCACTCTTAATCCAATCACTTCCTCCACTGCAGTTTTTAACAATAAAACCTTCTTTCATTTTCAATTATCTTCCCCTCAGGAGAGAATGAAGTTCCCTCAGAAGATGCCCTCATCTTGCACCTCCAGCTGGCCAAAGGGCAGGAGAAGCTGGTGGAGGCCCTGCGAACCCAGCAAATAATCATCCGCGACCTGCAGCAGAAACTCGCCGACCAACAAGAGGCGCTTCTGTCCCAGCAGAGGGAGATCCTGGACCAGCAGCGGCGCATGTATGAGCAGATGGATGTGGTGAAGAACCAGTATGGCCTCCTCTCAGAGACCGTCAAACAGGTTTCCTTCCAGGGTCTGCAGGGTGAGCTGCAGAGCTACTTCGAGAGCCACCTGGCGGGTCTGCAGAGCCAGGCCCGCAGCCACCTGCAGAAATCCTACGCCGTGCACAAAATGGATCTGGACTCCAAGACGATGGATGTAGTCGGAGAGGCTCATTTTCCTCAACCTCTGCTGGGATGCCCTACTTCCTGTGGGCAGGAGGAGTTCTGTGATTTTCAGAAGGATCCACCAAAGTGTGAGAAGTGCACCATGTGTCCGCCGGGCTTCTTCCTGATCTCACAGTGTTCTCCAACTGCAGACAGGATGTGCCAGGTATACTCCTTTCAAACAGCTATTCTCAACATCTGGTTTGCCTTAGAGTTCCTACTAGTGGCAAGCAGAGGTACTGCAAAAATAGTATATTAAAGGTCCCCGTTTATAGTGTTTTTCATCAATATATTATAGGTCTCAGATATACAAAACATGTCTCTGAAGAATGTGTCTGAAATACCAAACAGATCACGCATTGTGGCATCCCATAATCCCCTCTGTTTCAGCCCTGTTTCAAAAGTGCTGATTCTGTGTCTGTTACTTTAGATGAAAATAAGGAGCCCCTCCCCACGCCCCTCTACGAGATATTTGGTTAAAAAAACACAATGGTGCTCTAGGAGGATTCAGGTGATAAGGGGGGGGGGGGGGGGGGGGGGGGTGTTACCTTGGTTGGTTATTGGCTAATGATTACACAAGCCCAAAATCGTTACGACATCATAAAGTGGCCAAAATCTGATCAGCTCATTTTCAGGCAGGTTTTTATATAAATGGATCAGGACAATAAGAGATAGAATATTTTTTCCTGAAACTTTCAGAATCTCTTAACGCAGAGATACATATTTATGTATGAAAGACATGACAAAGTGGATTTTGCATAATAGGTGACCTTTTTTTTAATATAAATATTTTAGTAACTTACCAAAAAAGTTAATTTTTCATCTAAATGTGCTCAAGGATTCACATAAATAAATAATGCAAAATTGTAATGACCAGTTACGTTTGAATATCCTCATGCATGTCACGACACATCAGGTAGACAAACATATTTTGCCATTTTTAGCTAGCTAACGGATGTAGTAAAATAAAATGGATCTCTTTTTTGCAACTAAAGAAGTGACATGAGCCAGTTAAAGCTCCAAAACTTCATGTGAGCGTACCCCAATACATTATGTTTGGATTCCTATTTGTTCGTTATCAGAGCTGACCGTATATGATTCATATATATACCTGATTTATTTCATGTTTGTTTTTTTCTTATGTATTTTAAGATTGTTTTCATAAAAATGTTTTTAACAATTAGAAATCATGTTCACAACTTTGTTGCTAATTTTAAATGCACTAATGTTTGATTGATGGTGAGGCAGTTTCTATTCTGTACACAAACTTAAAATAGCTTTATCTGATGGTAGAAGTGTCAAATGGGGTCAGGTTTTAGAGCAAAAAAAGTTCATATTACCATCCATGCTGAATAAAATCCAAATAAAATCATGGATACATTTTGTTTGTATTCCTTTGTTTTGTTAACATAATGCCAACACTTATAATATGAATGTGTGTGTATTGCAGGACAGAGATGAATGCCTTGAAGTACCAACCATTTGTGGAGAGCGGGTGAAGTGTCTTAATACTCCAGGTGAGTTCAACATATTGATATATACGTTTTTAAAATAGAGCAATTCATGAATGTGCAGTGTGAAACCTTATTCCCCCTTTAATTTTCATTAAACATCCTTTTTTCCCCACATGTTCACAAGTTGATTTCTCCATTTTCTCTGCTCTTTAATTTCACAGGTGGGTTCAGGTGTCTGGGAGTTTCTGAGAGAGAAGCAGTCATGGGTTTTTGTGGTCATGACTACTTCTACAACCAGGAGCTGCAGGAGTGCCAGGCCTGCTCCGACTGTGATGGAGAACCTGTTTCTGTCACCTGCACCGCTGTCACTGACTCTGTCTGCGGTCAGCCCTCAGAGAGCCAACTCTCCCAGTCTTGGGGGGCCAATGTTGGAATTCCTCATGCTCGAAACTCTGGCACACACATCTTCCCAGGGCTTCAACTAAACATCAGAAGCAAAGAGAAAATAGATCTGTTGTCCAATGAGGTGGGGCAGGTGACGTTCCTGCAGCATGGCCTGGTCTGGTTGGATCATAACTTTGCGATAAAGCACAGCTGCAGGAACTTCCTTCAGTTGGGAATGAGGCTCAATGGGAGCCAAGAAGAGGAGGGTCGGGACCTCAGTGGTGTTCGCATCGAACAACCGGATAAGAAATACTTCCAAGGTGTCAGCGTCAGCAGTGGAGTAGAGGTGGAGCCCAACCACACCTTCACCCTTCAGCTGAAGAGTCCCAATCAACACTGCAACCAGAGCAAGGATCTTCACGTCTATGATATCACCACCAATTCTCTCAGCTTGCTCTGGTTGTCGCACGACACTGGTGCCGTAGCGATGACGGCTCAGATGTCCCTGTTGACGCACTACCAAACCAGCTACCGCCCGACGTTCCGCATTACCTCAGTCTCCGACCCGTACATGGTCATTCTAACGCACGATAACCGCGGTGTCCGCTTCACAGAAAGCGGTGTTGTAAAGTTCGTCCTCCAGCAGGCGCTTTACTCAATGGGCCACACCTGTATCAGAGAGGGTTTCTCCCTGATCGCCTACACTAACCGCAACGGGACCGGCCAGGAGGCGATGCAAGCCTTCAAGACGGGCGTCAACTACAGGGACACCTCCATCACCCTCTCTGGCGCTGTGAGCGTCGCCGGCGGGGACACGCTCAGCTTCGAGATCACGTCTCCTTCCCAGTGCAACATCCGCTACTTTGGGGACAGCACCGGGATCAGTATGCTGAGTCTTATCTGGATTCCTTCAGCAGTGTCTTCAGCCCTGACCGCTACCGTGTCCAAGACCGGTCTGCCCTCCGGAGCGGTCAGGAACAAGCAGCTGTCCTTCCAGCAGATCAGCCCGGACACGCCCCAGGTTCATTTGTCTCGCCAAGGGGAGCCGAACAGCAGGAAGAACTTTGTCTTCCATGAGAAAGGGACGGCGAACATTGCCCTCAATCTAAAGCTGATTCACTCCTGCAATATTGTCAAACTCACTATGCAGAAGGCTTTGGGTCCGGGGGGGACGGCAGCTCCTGTGGCCCAGCAGGTGTCTGGTTCAATGCCTGAAGGGAGCGAGTGGGCCAGTATCGGGCTGAGGGCCTCATTTCCGGTCCAGAATGGAACAGCAGTGTATGTGACTCTGGATTGTATTCGAGGACGGGTTAACCAGATTACACACGAGGGCGGCACTAACATTTCCATCCTCTGGGTTGCAGTGTAATCCAAGAAGGGATTTTGTCATTAATAGATATTTTGAAAAAAAAGACAGTTTTGCACAATATTGAATTGCAGAGCAGATTCAAGAATTGACCAAATGAAGAGAGAATACTGGTAGATGATAAACTACTTCATGCATTGTAGATGGAAACAACATCTATTTAAATATATGTTTAGACTTTTATTGTGAATTATTGTGCTTTTTCTTGAAGTACTTCAGCTGGTTGAGCAGTGACCAATTCTTCATGAGATGTGTGTGTGTGTGCGATTGTGTGAGTGTGTGTATGTACAATATGTATGAGTGTGTTCATACATGTGCAGTGGTGCCTATATATGTGTGTACGTGTACAAAGACATTGGCATGCATATGTTTGTCATTTAATATGTATATCCATACATTCCTGCACATATTTAACTTGTATGTCACTTTTTGTATCATATCACTAGGAATTTTAAGGTGGCAGAGTTACATGAGAAGATAGACACTATTCTACGATATAAGAGTGGTCTTATAAACTGAGTTTTTGCCATTTTCACAAAAGAAAATCCCTTTAATAATTAGTTATTAAAAGACAAATGCTACATAGTAAACTCAAACAAGCAGGAGTTGGTTTTTGATGATTTTTCCGACTATATTTATTTGCATTTTGTAAAACGGGACTTTTGTATTTACACTATAGAATACATATATTTGTCGGCTACGAAAAAAATTAAAGATAGATTGTGGGGTAAGGCACTGAGTAGGCAGTGTTGCTTTTTAAATACATGCAGTGATAGCCTCTATCATGTGTTTACTTGCACACATAGTTTAACTCAGTATTATGGAATGTGCAAACATTATACTTTGTTATTCTTTTGCCTAAATGCTGTCTCCGTGTGAAGAGTTGCCCATGCATATCGTTGCTAATTGCCTCTGTGTGTGTTCTGTCCTCGAAACAATTAGGCATAATTAAGTGTTTCAGGGAGTTGGCAGGGAAGCCGCCACGGAAACTCTTTATTCTCACTCCATTTTGTTCAGAGAATCTTTCATTCTGTGGTTGGGCTACCTGCATCAATGCATGCATACTTGTTCAACACTAAATAAAATGTACATATGATTTGCCAGAAAAAAATATGTCAGTCCAGCTTGTTAATACACAGCAATCAGAGATGAGATATATTACATTTCTGGGGGGTTGATTACAGCATATAATTTAGTATGATGTAATGCATTCCTGTATAGACACATCATTTGACACGTTGCCTTCCTTCCAGAATTTTTTTATATTATTTTCCATTAGGTTAAACGGGTAAAACATTCAGACGTTACTCATTCAATATAATTCCAAACATACCCAACCTATTAGAAAGCCACCTTACCCAATAGCTATAAGTGCCAAAATTGCAGAGATAATGCCTGGAAAATCATTTACTGTATTTTCTCTCAATTGGTCTTCATCAAGTTCAAATTATTCTTCCATCTATTACCTATAGGAGAGCTGTGCTTTAGCTTAAACATAACAAAAAGCCAGTGAGTCAATGAGAGGGAGAGGGGGGAAAAAACGCTTGTGAGAAACAATCAAATGTTTCTGTCGGTTGCCTGAATTGAAAACAGGTGTTTCAATGGAGCAGTGCTCCAGATGTCTGACGCTGTAGATCAAATGAGACCCACAGCACATGAAGAGTTTCAGACATCAGAGGGAGAAACGGGGACAGACAAACAACAGGAAGGAGGAAAAAAACTGAAGAGAGGAGTGTGCGTGTATTGAAAACTTTGTCATTAGAGCTCCTCTAGATGAATATTTTCCATATTAACAAGGGATCAAATTACTACTTGTGAAAGGGCTTGCTTGTATTGCCAAAAGAGTTATCATCCATCTTTGTAGTTCGCTCTGATGTCTTGAAAACTGCTCAAGTGCTTTAAGTCTCCAGCCTCTCAGCCTTTAGTAAGCCTTTTTGTTCTTCAGTTGTGCAGCCAACACATTCTACTCTCATCAACACCATTTCCAGGAGCCGGCAGCTGTTTCCAGCAAAAGAGCTCTGATAAACCTCATTTATAACACACACCTTGCACTAAACTGCAGACAAACAAAGTAAGGCATTAGCTGGTGAAGCCTTCAAATCAAAAGTCTATTCATGATATAAAGAATCAGTTATTTCCTCTTGGAATTGGTCACGCCAGATCTAAAGAAGATTACATGTCATTTGTTAGATGCTTTTATCCAAAGCATTCAGTACTGTGGACAATCCCCACATGTAGATGTGCATCATTCATTTGTTCCTGAGTGTTAAAGAAAATGCAACATGGAGTCATGTTAATAGACACATCAGACGCAGCGAATAGCCTCCTACCCCAAACCTGGCCCCAGTCTGTTCCAATGTTAACTTAAACAGGACAAAGCTGGAGACAGACCCACTTTAATCAGAAGCGGATGTTACTGTAAGAGCAGAGGCCTCGTGTCTACACAGAAATGTTTAGACCATGTGGTTTGATGCTGCACTCCTTCGTGTTACTTCGGTAATGTTGTTCAGTACAGTCCAAAGTGCCAAGAATCACTGACCTGATAACATCTTATAGGTCTGGCTGTATTTAAAACAAAAGTTTCACTACTTCCTCTGCCTCTGACACAAGTTTGTCTAACTAAAAGTCCAACATATGTCTTAACTGAAAAAGCACTATTAGTAACCGGTTATTCTCCATCATCCTCGGTTTCTTGCGCATCCGCTCATCTGTCGCACTCTCCTCCCCTGCTCCGTCCATCTGTGCCGGTGTTTTTTTCCTCATTAGAGAGGTTACTGGTGCATGAGGGAATGGGCTGTGTAGGTCAGGAGCAACAAACTCAAAAGTGGGACTCATATTGAACAGCCTGTGAAAAGTTTCTGAACATTCACCAAGAAGCGTTACAAAAAAGTTGTTAAATGTTGTCTATCTGTATAAAGAAAACAGCTTTTCTCATGGCATAGCATATATGGGCCATTCTACCGAATTGGTGCAAAGTCAGGTTGGAACAGTTTTGAATTTTTTAATGTTTTTTTCCCAAAACTTTGTCCATATATATTTTGTACCATATCTAAATTACACATATCTAGTAAAAGAGCCGTACATTTTTATATCGTATTTTCAGACTGTATTGGAATGTTCTTCCTCTACCAAAAATGGTCACTACCGAAACATAGCATCTCTAGCATCTAAAGCAATATTGGTAAATTATTTAATATCAGATTATAATATTGATATATGCTGTCTCACTGAAACTTGGTTGAGACATGAAGAATATGTCAGCATAAATGAGGCCACTCCACCCAGCCATATCAATACTCATATTGCCCGAGGCACAGGCCGAGGAGGTGGAGTTGCAGCCATCTTTGACTCAAATGTACTTATCAATACTAAACCAAAATGTAATTATACCTCCTTTGAAAGCCTCGTTTTTAGTCTTACGCTTCCGACCTGGAAAACATTGCAGCCAAACCTTATTTGTTACAGTGTACCGTGCACCAGGTCCTTATTCAGAATTCTTATCTGAATTCTCTGAGTTTTTATCAACTTTGGTACTTAAAACAGATAAAGTAATTATCGTAGGTGACTTTAATATTCATGTTGACGATGATAAAAATAGCCTTACTGTTGCATTTAACTTTATATTAGATTCTGTTGGTTTCTGTCAGAGTGTAAATAAACCAACCCACTGCTATAATCACACTCTCGACCTTGTTCTGACTTGAAATTGAGCAACTATTAGTCAAACCGCATAATCCTGCTTTATCCGACCATTTCTTAGTAACTTTTGAAGTACTGTTACTAGACTACAAAGCATTAGTCAAAAACTCCTGCAGCAGAAACCTATCTGTTAGTGCTATAGCCAAAGAGAAGAAGAAGAGAAGAGATTCCACCAATACTTAACTCGATAGCATGTCTGCATGTAGGGGAGGAAACGTATACAAAATGTACACCACCCCAAGTTGATCATGTTGTTGATAGTGCTACAGATGCGCTGCGAATAAAATTAGACTCTGTTCACATTATATATGCTTCCGTTAGGCAATATTATAAGGAATCATTCTGTAAACTTTCATTGTTATGCGGATGATACTCAACTATATTTATCAATCAAGCCTGATGAAATTAATCATCTAAATTTAATTCAAGACTGCCTCAAGGACTTAAAAACGTGGATGACCTTACATTTTTTTATGTTAAACACGACCAAAACTGAAGTTATTGTACTTGGCCCAAAGAATCTACGAAACAAATTATCTAAATATATACTAACTATGGATGGCATTCATTTGGCCTCCAGTGAGACTGTAAGGAATCTTGGTGTTATATTTGATCAGGATTTATCCTTTAACGCCCACATAAAATCATTTTCAAGGACCGCCTACTTCCATCTACGTAACATTGCAAAAATCAGGCATATCTTGCCTCAAAACGATGCAGAGAAACTAGTCCATGCATTTGTTACTTCAAGGCTGGATTATTGTAACTCCTTATTATCAGGGTGTACCAAGAAGTCAGTCAAGTCGCTTCAGCTGATTCAAAATGCTGCAGCTCGTGTACTAACCAGAGTTAGGAGAAGGGACCACATTACTCCTGTTCTGGCTGCCTTACACTGGCTCCCTATAGAACACAGGATATAATTTAAAATTCTTCTTCTCGCCTACAAAGCCCTTAATGGGCAGGCGACATCTTACTTTAAATAACTCATTATACCCTACTGTCCTACTAGGGCATTGCGTTCCAAGAATGCAGGGTTGTTGGTTGTTCCTAGAGTCTCTAAAAGTACAATGGGAGCCAGAGCCTTTTCTTATCAAGCTCCACATTTGTGGAATCAGCTTCCAGTTTGTGTTCGGGCGGCAGACACCCTATCCGTTTTTAAGAGTGTGCTTAAGACCTTCCTTTTTGATAAAGCTTATAGTTAGGGCTGATTAGATTCAGCCCCTAGTGATTCGGCTTAGTTTGTCGGGGGACATCTTACTTCTTCCTTCTCTCTGTCTATACCTGTGTACTCTCATGTTCCGATTAACCCAGCTTCCCCAAATGTCTTTCTTTTTGGTGTCTATATACGCTGGGATCCGGAGTCATGGATGATCCTGCGGTCCTGTGTAATGGATCGCGAGCCCTGGATCGCGAGTCTTGGCTGTGGTCCTGGATCATAGGTCCTGGATGGATATCCTCGTGGATTCATCTTCCTATTATACACACATGCATTTCCAAACATTTGGACTACCTATGTTTCAAATGTATTATCTTTTCAATTTACACACGGCATCTATTGCACGTCTGTCCGTCCTGGAAGAGGGATCCCTCCTCTGTTGCTCTCCCTGAGGTTTCTCCCATTTTTCCCTTTAAACTGTGGGTTTTCTCCGGAAGTTTTTCCTTGTACGATGTGAGGATCTAAGGACAGAGGGTGTCGTATTGTCATACTGATATTCTGTACACACTGTGAAGACCACTGAGACAAATGTAACATTTGTGATATTGGGCTATATAAATAAACATTGATCGATTGATTGATTGATTGATTGATTGATTGATTGATTGATTGATTGATTGATTGATTGACATTTAATACACTGTAGTAAAAAAGTATTATATTAACCTGTTAAGATTGTTTTACCTTCCCTTATCTAAATAGTGTTTTAACAAATATTTCTTGAGGGTTTTCACAATTGAATCAATGCAATTCAATTTTTAATAAAATGTCAAAGTTCAATTTATACAATTCATAAAAATCATAATGCAAACTTTCTTTGTAAAATGCATAATACTGATCATATTGATTCCAGAGTTGATGATTGTTGAAATTGAACATACATTAAACCAATCAGTATCATATCATTTTATTTGATAACTCAATATACTTTATTTTTTACAAAACATCCAGTGTTTCGGTAGTGACCAAAGCATTTTGTTCTCAAGTTTGTATCATATTCCCTCAACCTTATTACTTAATCTTAACTCATAACATGCCTTATGTTGAAGTGTGAATGTTTGAAGCTACTGACCCAGAATCAGCACTTTAGTAACAGGCTGAAATAGAGGGGTTTGAGGCTAGAATGCATGATATGTTTGCAGTGGCGGCCGGCCCATAGGGGCACTAGGGGCGCCCCCCCCCCCCTTCCCACATGT